CCTGCTTAAGGTTTGTGTTTTCTTTGGCCTGAAATAGTTACATTGCTTAACTGTGTAATGACATATTTTACAAGTTATGTTGAGTCTTTTCACAACTATTTCATAAAAAAATAAATAAAATATTTCATGGTGCATTTAAACTTCTCAAACTGTATACAACTAAATCACCTGAGTAGATAATTTGTATATAATTCTATATTCCTAAACATTTTGTCCTAGTGACACTATGTAATGAAGTTAACCCGTTATCCACATTGCATCTGGTGTATGCGTGCATGAAATGTAGCGATAGACCGATATTGATTTATTTTTATTTTTTTGAGCTGATAATCTGTGAACTTTCAGGCCGATTTACCGATATTCTGTAAATTTACCATTTTGAAAAAACTAAACTATTTCTACTCAAATCTACTGTTAAAGGGACTCTCCAGTGTCAGGAAAACCGTTTTCCTGGCACTGCAGGTCCCCTCTCCCTCCCAACCCCCATTCCATGTTGCTGAAGGGATTAAAACCTTCAGTGACTTACCTGAATCCAGCGCCGATGTCTCTCGGCGCTGGTTCAGGGTCCGCACACGCTCCTCCCTGCCGACGTCATGCGCGGCCGGCGACGGAGGAGACCTAATTCGCAATGCTTTCCTATGGGGAATTTAGCGACGCTGAAGGTTCCTCACATAACGTGAGGACGTCCAGCGACGCTATAGCACAGAAAATCTGTGCTATAAACTTGGAAATGCCCTCTAGTGGCATGCTCCTACCTAAAGAGTTGAGAATTCTCAGGGTGGCGTGACTCCTCTCGTTTGTCGAGCCTTGTCTCCGGGCATTCTTTAAAAAAACAGGTATGTTATCACTAATGCATTTATATAGGGGGCCTATATTTCAGCCTTTACAAAGGGGGGTTTAAAATGACTCTCCACTGCCTCAATACAATACAATACAAAGCAAATAAAAATGACACTTTAGTAGATACACCCCTATGCATTTTTATTTTAACAATAGATGTCTCTTCACCCCCTTTATTGTTATTTAGGGGTCTTTTTTTATTTATTTTTTATAAACAGTGGCTGCTCACTGTTTAGTGGACATGCCCCTACTCGCCATAGAGTGAGGGGGGCCTGGGGGGCTTATGAAGTGGTGGGGAGCACTGCTCCATGCCGCTTCTATCTTTACATATTACAAGGAGGGAGCTGCACGCCGGTAGCTCCCTCCTTGTAATAAACTGAACAAACACTGATATTCAGTATTTGTTCATCTGAAATTCTAGTCATTCATTCTGCTTTCTGACGAAAGAATAGATGAAATTCCTCTTCGCATGCCCAAGTGTTTGACTGGGCATGTGCGGGTATTTCATCGTGCTTTCTAGCGTAGGGATCGACCGATATTGATTTTTATTTATTTATTTGAGCCGATATTCTGTACATTTACCATTTTGAAAAAATAAACTATTTCTTAAGGTAAATGCACAAAATATACATGTCAAACGTAGTGGATGCAGAGTGTTTAGACAGGGGAGCTGTGTGTATTT